TTTCTGCAGCTATGTCGAGACGAGGGCATAGAGAGGCACTTCACAGTTAGTCATACACCGCAGCAGAATGGGGTGGCGGAGAGATTGAATCGGTCTTTGCTGGAGAAGATTCGATGTTTATTGGCGCATAGTGGTTTGGAGAAGATCTTTTGGGCTGAGGCACTTTCTTATGCGAGCCACCTCATTAACAGGCTGCCTTCATCTGCGATTGAGGGGAAGACCCCTATGGAGATGTGGTCGGGAGAGACAGCACATGACTATGACCAGCTTAAGGTATTTGGTTGCCCTGCATATTATCATGTTAGAACTGATAAGTTGGAACCTCGAGCTAGGAAGGCCATATTTGTAGGATTCAAGCGTGGTGTCAAGGGATACAAGCTTTGGGATCCAGTTGATAAGAAGATTGTGCTGAGTAGGGACGTCACATTCGATGAGGCTTCTATCTTGAAGCTTCCCAGCTCTCATCAGGTGGAGAGCAACCCGACAGAGGAGATTTCGCAGGTGGTGGAGATTGATGCAGCTCCACAGAGTCCAGATAGTGCAGTATCCATGAGAGTGCCGACTGAGGTGACGCCAGGCGAGCACGACGGTGATGCGGAGGATACGGGTACTCATGAGCAGGATCAGGGACCGACGGCTCAGGTTCAGGATTCTATTGCGGCACGGAGACAGAGGAGAGACATACGGGTGCCAGCACGGTATGCCGACACAGTTGCATATGCACTTCCGGTGGAGAGTATCGATGAGATGGTGCCTACTACATTCAGAGAGGCCGAGCAGAGTTCGGAGGCTGATTCGTGGCAGGTGGCTATGCAGGAGGAGATGGAGTCTCTTCACAAGAACGATACATGGGAGCTTGTAGAGCTTCCAAAGGGGCGGAAGGCGATTGGGTGCAAGTGGGTGTACACGAAGAAGGAGGGCATTGAGGGCACTCCAGTGAGGTTCAAGGCTAGGTTGGTTGCGAAGGGCTATGCACAGGAGGAAGGTATTGATTACAATGAGGTTTTCTCTCCGGTGGTGAAGCATTCGTCGATTCGGATTTTGCTAGCTTTGGTGGCACAGTATGGATTGGAGTTAGATCAGTTGGATGTGAAGACAGCATTTCTTCATGGTGATCTTGATGAAGAAATATATATGACTCAGCCATTGGGATTCCGAGCTGCAGGGAAAGATAAGTTGGTTTGCAGGCTAAAGAAATCGCTATACGGTTTGAAGCAGTCTCCTCGACAGTGGTATAGGCGATTTGATGGTTTTATGCTTGGTCATTCGTACACTCGGAGCCAGTTTGATCCTTGCGTGTATTTTCGCAAGTTGAGAGGAGGTGCGTACATTTATTTGTTGCTTTATGTCGATGACATGTTGGTTGCTTCTAGTTCCAGGTCAGCTATAGATGAGTTGAAAGTTCAGCTTTCGAATGAGTTTGAGATGAAGGACTTGGGCGAGGCGAAGCGCATTTTAGGGATGGAGATCGGCAGAGACAAGAAGAAGGGCAAGATTTGTTTGACACAGGTGGCTTCTTTGAAGAAGGTTCTACAGCGATTCCATGTTAGCATGGATACGAAGCCAGTTTGTGTACCGTTGGGAGCCCATTTGAAGCTTTCAGCTGGCCTTTCACCGAAGTCAGTTGAAGACCGTGAGTTGATGACGAAGACTCCATATGCGAGCGCAGTTTGGAGTTTGATGTATGCGATGGTATGTACGAGGCCGGATTTGTCACAGGCGGTGAGCATGGTGTCGAGATACATGCACGATCCAGGAGTGGGTCATTGGGACGCTGTGAAATGGATTTTGAGGTACATTCGAGGTACGCTCAATGTTGGTTTGGTTTATGAGCGGGACACTACAGGTGGGCAGTTATGCATTGGCTATGTTAATTCGGATTATGCCGGGGATTTGGATAAGCGCCGGTCTACTACGGGGGATGTGTTTACTTTGACCCGTGCACCGGTGTGTTGGAGAAGCACCTTACAGTCGACGGTGGCTTTGTCTACGACGGAGGCAGAGTATATGACAGTTACGGAGGCTGTGAAGGAGGCTATTTGGCTTCGAGGACTTTTGGAGGAACTTGGTATATCGCAGAGGTCCGTCACTATTCATTGTGATAGCATGAGTGCTATCTATTTGGCGAAGAATCATGTTTTTCATGCGAGGACGAAGCACATTGACGTTCGTTATCACTTCGTTCGGGATGTTCTTGAAGATGGTGATGTGGAAATTGTGAAAGTCCACACGAAGGATAATCCGGCGGATATGCTCACTAAGGTGGTTCCGAGCAACAAGTTTGATCATTGTCGAAACTTGTTGCATATTCGTGATTGTTGAGGCCGTTGGCGGCCATTTGGGTGAACTACGTTCGATGCAGCCGGTTTGGATTAGTTGATGGGGTGAGATTGTTTGGACTCTTGTTTTGGGTTCTCGACTTATTGTGGATTGAGTTCGTACTGGACACAACAAGTGGGACATTTGGATGCTTTGATGTCGGCTCAGTTTTGGGAAAACTTTACCAAGGTGGAGAATTGTGACGTGGGGGTCTACCACGTGATTGAAGCCACCACGTGAGTACGCGGTTTGTTTCCGCGAGAGTCCAGCGGATAAAGAAGATGGCCCATGACCCGACTTCTTCCGCTGCATATATATAACAATTGTTAATTAATAGGGTTGGTGTAGCAAAGGAGGGTTTTGTTTTGCGGCTCGGTGCAAGGCAAGTGCAGGCGTGCGGCTGCAAGCGAAAAGTGAAAAGAAGGTTTTGATTTTGTTTTTCGACTGAGAATTGTTTTCGGCTGGTGTTGCTACAGACGCAGATTTGGTGCTGTGCAAGGGTCCTTGTACATCCCCTTTTGTAGAGAGTTTGTGAGGGATTTGAGAGTTTGTTTGAGGGTTTAGGTTGTGAGTGATTGTAAACCCTAATTGTATTCTCTCCCTCTATTAGTAGATCTCCCCCCTCCTTGCCCCGTGGACGTAGGCAATTTGCCGAACCACGTTAAAATTGGTTGTACTGCTTTTGTGTGATTTGTAATAGCTTTTAGGATCCCTCGACAGGTCAGTCCTAGAACTGATGAGAGGAAGAGCTGATATCTCACTTGGTTGAGATATCCGCTTCAGATTCTTGTCTCCTTGGTGAGACGGGAATTCTTATTGCGATCTGACTCTCTTGTTGTGCTGCCGAAGTGCTGCCGAAATTTCCGCTGCGCGCAACAAAAAGATGGAGAGAATGGAAAGAAAGGGAGACTTAGAATTGTGATCGTCTTCTGTAACTAAATTTGCAATGCGGAACAAGTTTGTACGTCTTAAAGTCGACTAGTTGGTCATCAACATCCTTATTCACATATTGCAGCATTGACAGTTCAATTGGATGCCAAGCATACTTTTAGAGAACTTTTGCACAAAAAATCTTCCAAACTCTCCTCACCATATTTGTCTCTGGAAAGAGTTTGGATGTTAAGATGCAAAGTTGTGTGGTTTTTAACAAATTTCTTTCATATTAAGAGCTATTTTGAGTTTTGGCTTGGACCTTTCGCAAGCTTTTCGACTTTGGGATTTACTGTTTAGTTTGAAAATTTTCAAGTATTCTGCTTAAGTGACGGAATTCATGTTTTTTGCTAGATCTTAATTGCTTAAAAGCACCTTGGTGGTTTGTAAGCATGTGATATCAATTGCATCCAAGTACCCAAATGATGAGCTCAAAGTCATAAATTTGGAATCAGATCTATCCTCATTCCAAAGCTTCCATATGTAGGTCTTCAGAGTTCAGCTTTATCTTTTCAATCAGAATAAAAATTCTTGTAAAGATAATATCCATCTGTATATACAAATGGTTTCTTAAGCTGTGAAGAATTACTCATGGGTGCTCAAGGTTAGACTCGTCACTGACCTGATGCCAGAGCCTTTTTTAGATTTATACCTTTTGCAACTGAATCAATAGGTGAGTTTTGGAGGGATGAAAGGTCTGATGCCCAATTCATATTACATCCTCAAGTTCAGCTGATAATGAATTTATACAGAGTGTTCTCAGTTTAACGTCAAAGTTGGATCATCTATTGCTTGTTGTAGTTAGGGGTCTCCTTTAAGCAGCAGTATTCTGATATTGTGACCGTATTCTTAGGGAAAGGATTATGTTAGCGTATAAAATTATTACCTTCATCACTCACCACGACTTTTTGGAGTTTTGGTGCAATGTTAAGGACTTTTGACCTGGTATGGGAAAGCCGGTTACAAATCCCTCTACTCATGAATTAAGGTGGATAGAAAAAGATATCATTATGTGAATCCCAAATTTCGGCCTATGAAAACAGCGGTCAATTTTCTCAAGGGCATGTTAGAGTATAAAATTATTACCCACTGGCCATGAATTAAAGCGGATAAAAAAGATATTATTGTGTGAGATTCAAGTTTTAGCCAGTGAAAAGGGCGCTCAACTTGTGAGGGCATGTTATAATATCAAATTATAGCCCTCTGATGCAAAATGATTTGAAGATCAAATGAAAATTTGGTTGAATGGTCCTCATTCGTTTGGAAAAATTAGGTAGGGTAGATAAAGTTGTTAGACTATTTTTAGATGTTGATCTCAAAATTTAAATTTAATTTAATCTTTTAAAATATTTGATTTTATTTGTTAAGTGGATTTTATCTAGTTTTGGATTTTAGATTGCATTACGATAAATTTTATTTTATTCTTTTTGAATTTCAAATTGTATGAGAGATAGATTTCCCACTCTATTTAAAGAGTTCTGATTTCCATTGTTTTCAGCAAGAAAATTTTGAGAGAAAATGTGAAGAAAATTTTGTATGTGATATGCTTGTCTAGTGGACATGTGATGTGTCAGGTATGAAGCCATGAGGCTTAGGTGTTTTCTGTGAAACCGGCCTATCCACTTGCCAGTCCCTGACCCTCACCACCAATGAGTAGTGTAGGTGTAGTGGCAAAGATTTTTTTTGACAGGTTGCCTCGCTATCAAGATGGAAATCCAGTGTTATTAGTTTGACTTCTTTGGATGTAAATATGCTATTGATCTTATTTCAGATGTTTTGCTTAGAAAAAAGCCTAGTTGGGATATCTGGTTTTTCTTTAATAAAATGTGTCCCTATAATATTTCTAAACTGGATTGGAATTTGTTGTATTTGATAATTTTGCATGAAATGAGAGGGTACGACCTTGTGTTACTGTATTAATCTTCTCTTCCCCTGAAAGCTTCTCTTTCTCAGTTAGCTACATTGGTTTTCTATTTGAAATGATAATGAATCGTGCTATGATAACTTGCAGGAGAACCTGGAGGGGCGTTCAGGCAATCCAAGATAGAACTTCACCCATGAGCTATTTTTCTGACTACCCATACCCCGTTCAGAAATCAGGATCTACGTTGCACAGGGCTCGAACCAGAAGTTTAAAATCAACTTCATACAGTTTTCCTACCCAAGGTTCGTTTTTGTAATGGTGGTTAAATTAATACTCATCGTCCCTGTTTTATCTGGGAGTTACAGTTGATTCTTTGTTGCAGGTGTGAACAAGACCCCGGAAGTTCTATCTGAACCAGGGGCTTACTATTCTACCTTTCACAAAACACCTGAGAGAAAGAGGTTCTCAAAAGAAGAGTGGGAGCAGTTCACCAAGGAGAACACAAGAGAAGCTTCGATGGATCTCGTATCGTCACCCGATTTTAACAAGTGGGCTATGGATAATGCTGAGAGGATAACCTTGACACCTTCGAATGCAAACATTCGTCAGAGGAAGCAACGTCGTTTCCTATGGTTTTACGCTTCATGATACGCTTGCGCAAATTCATTGAAGGAGCTTTTTTTTTTCCCAAAGCTGTCGGATTATCTAGTGCTCATTGTAAACTTGTGTAACATGTCCACTTATTTCCTTGGTAAAGATTGGCAAGATTCATTTTGATGAATGTTGAAAGCTTGGAAGATGTTTTAAGTTACTTAGGTTAGGTCAGTGTGGAATATATTAATACCCGTCTATTTACGTTGTATGTATTAAGTGATTATGGAATATGTTAGTGTTAACTGATTTTAAATGGAGTCGTCAAATATCTTAACACCAACTCACTTAAGAGTGAGTGTAGCATTAGGTGATTGACATGTGAGCTATATATTAAGACTTCATCTGGTAGTTGTATGTCTCATGGTAAAATGCCTCGTAATAGAAATTGATACGGATGTATCTTCTCTTCTGAAAAGCGATCCTCATAGGAGCTTGAGGATAGGTGATTCTCATGATATCTTGAGAATAGTGGTGTGAAGCGACACGGCAAAGCATAGGTTGAAGCGTGGAACGAGACGACGAGCAGCAGATTCGAAGAATCCAGATTTTAACTCGTGAGTCGACTCATACATGTACATGAGTCGACTCATTAGGTTGAGTCGACTCACGCCTATCATGAGTCGACTCACGAAACCCAGTCGTTTTGTCAAAAGCTTCTGCTCGGTCGACTCATCAGTTTATGAGTCGACTCATCAGTCATGAGTCGACTCATATACAGTCATGAGTCGACTCATCGAGGTTTCCTGGGCAGACTTGGTTTCTGTTTTGAAGGAATTCTAGTTGGGTTTGGTTTTGGTTATTTACCAGATTGCCACCACGTTGTAAACCCTATAAATAGGGACTGTTTAGGATTCTAAACAGGAGGTTAGAGACCAGATGTAGTCCTAAAGAGTTTTAGGTCTAAGTGAGATCCTAATCAAAAGGATTAGAGTTTAGATTGTGAGGATCTATGAGATCTTAGATCAGAGAGAGATTCTAATCATTGTATTAGGGTTTAGAGAGGATTGAGAGGTTGTTCTCGATTCTAGTGAGATTGTGAGGAAGAGATTGTAATCTTTTGTTCTTCATAATCTAGAGAAGGTATTTTCCTTCGTCATATACTGAATTGTGCTTGTGTTTCTGTCATCCTCTTCTCAACCCACCTTTGATAATTCCGCGATCAAATGTGCTCGCACGGCAACTCGTATTAAGTTGGTATCAGAGCATCAGATCCGGTGAAGGGGCATCCTGTGTATGGTCCTGACTCGATCGCAATACAAGAAGCTTAGAAAGATCCTTTTCTTTGGAAGGAGTTCAAAGAAGAAGGAAGAAGAAGATGACTGAAGTCAACAAAGATGGAGGGGCTCGAGAGTTTCCACAGCTGAAGTTCTAACTTGAATGGGACTTCAAGTTTCTAAAGGGGGGACCCATGATACGGGTATATCTTCTCTTCGGAAAAACGATCCTCATGGGAGCTTGAGGATAGGTGATTCTCATGATATCTTGAGAATGGGAGCTTGAGGATAGGTGATTCTCATGATATCTTGAGAATAGTGGTGTGAAGCGACACAGCGGAGCATAGGTGGAAGCGTGGAACGAGACGACGAGCAGCAGACTCGAAGAATCCAGATTTCAGCTCGTGAGTCGACTCATACATGTACATGAGTCGACTCATCAGGTTGAGTCGACTCACGCCTGTCATGAGTCAACTCACGAAACCCAGCCGTTTTGTCAAAAGCTTCTGCTCGATCGACTCATCAGTTTATGAGTTGACTCATCAGTCATGAGTCGACTCATATGCAGTCATGAGTCGACTTATCGAGGTTTCCTGGGCAGACTTGGTTTCTGTTTTGAATGAATTTTAGTTGGGTTTGGTTTTGATTATTTACCAGATTGCCACCACGTTGTAAACCCTATAAATAAAGACTGTTTAGGGTTCTAAACAGGAGGTTAGAGACCAGATGTAGTCCTAAAGAGTTTTAGGTCTAAGTGAGATCCTAATCAAAAGGATTAGGGTTTAGATTGTGAGGATCTATGAGATCTTAGATCAGAGAGAGATTCTAATCATTGTATTAGGGTTTAGAGAGGATTGAGAGGTTGTTCTCGATTCTAGTGAGATTATGAGGGAGATATTGTAATCTTTTGTTCTTCATAATCTAGAGAAGGTATTTTCCTTCGCCATATACTGAATTGTGCTTGTGTTTCTGTCATCCTATTCTCAACCCACCTTTGATAATTCCGCGATCAAAGGTGCTCACACGGTAACTTGTATCAGAAATACAAAGCAAGTAGAAACTATGAGCAAATAAGTTGGATTGAAAGATGGACGTTACTTATACGCGATACTTGAAATCATTTGCAGGTCGACCTAAACACAGCAATACATCGCACATGATGAATAATATTGTTCAACATACTTTTCGGTAAATAACGATTAATATATTTTAACATACTTATCGGTAGAAAGGTGAATCAGAATAAAAGCAAGAGAAATCCATAGGGCATACAACATTATTCAGCAGACCTAGGATTTAGATTCTAACCGAACGCAACAATACTCCCATCAGCCATACTATCAACATAGAGCTGATAACGGGTTGCCAAACAAACTCAGTTCTCAAAACTGAACTCAATCAAATATCACGAGCCAAACCAATATCAAATCCATATCATCATTCCAATCAAAACTGCAATCAATCAAAACTGTCACACGAAACCATCAGTAACTTGGAAAGAATGTCGATCATACAACCATTTCTTGAAATAGAAACCTCAACACAAAGATCAAGTGTTCCAGTTTGGGATAAATATAGAGAATAAATAGTTCTGAGGCACATAAGCATGGAGACCATTTAAGCGGTTCCAGTTTGGGATAAATATAGAGAATAAATAGTTCTGAGGCACATAAGCATGGAGACCATTTAAGCGTGGAGACCACAGACTCCTCATCGTCATCACAAGCATGCCCAAACCAACCATAGACGAGGAAAAAAATCTCTGCAGGAAAAGTTACAGCAAATGAGAAAGTGAATGAGACAGCAAGGCAAAAAAATGCTTTGCAAATTCAACAAAACTAAGTCACCGTGGAGGTTTCCTAAAACATACAGAGCTATAAACACCAGGTATTTGAAAGGAAATACGTAATGAAGATGCTCTTTTTAAAATAAGAAAGGATGAAATGCCTTAAAATAGTAGAGTAAAATAAATCACTAGAAGTAAAGAATGGTGTGCAATTTGAAACACCACTCAGTAACATAACTACTGCTGTGCCCAGCAATTATGACGTCTTGCATCATAAGCAACAAGATACAGGCATACAAATGTTAAACGTACGTGGATCATGAATTTTTTGTCCATGTATTTCTTAAACTTATAAACATGTGGTTGGAATCATGTTTCAATGGCAATTCTCAAGGATTAATATATTTTTCTAGATATCAAGCATCATGTAACATCTCGATCATATATTAGGTACATAGTCATATCAACATCATACACCATGCATAACCCGTATTGAATAGTCTAAGGATATGCTTCAGGAGCACAAATATCAAGCAAACATGGGTTCATGCGAAGCTCACGTGTCAAGCTACATATACTCATACATGCAATCACTTGGTTAAATTTTTTTTTGAAAGATATAAAGTGAAAATAGGAGGATTAAATACAAAGACATTCTGGTCTAGTTCATCTTCCTCGTCATATTTGTAACCTAATATATAAGCAAAGGACAAATTTTCAAAACAGACCCGTTTCAAATCTTATTCCCCAAAACCGACCTGTTTCAAACTTAATTTCAAAAACCGACCAAGTTGGCTCAAACTGGGTCGGTTTTTGAAAAAAAAAAGTTCTCAAACTTCACGGAAGTTGAACTCCCGTGAAGTAGTTGAACTCCCGTGAAATTTTTACATAACAAAACTTCACGGGACTTCAACTCCCGTGAAATTTGGGAACTTTTTTTCAAAAACCGACCCAGTTTCAGCCCAACTGGGTCGGTTTTTGAAATTAAGTTTGAAACAGGTCTTTTTTGAGAATATTTTGGCAAACAGGTCTGTTTTGAAATTTTGTCCTATAAGCAAAATATATCATGTAGTTACTCATTACTAAACCACTCTAATCCATCAAGGTTCTAAGGTATAAAATTATGATGATATTTAAATAAGGTATTGAGCAACACCCTTAAATATTAATCATGTAAACAAGAAAAGTAATAAAAAATCATACAGCATGAAAGCTATCCCTGAATACTAGAAGAAAGAATAAATGCCCAATACATCATTTTAATCAACAGAATAAAACTGCAATGAAATTTGCGATTGTAATAAAAACAAATGTGAGGGTATATTAGATGTCCTATAGATGAAGAAATTAGTAACTGTGCTCCTACCGCTGGATAAGGAAGGTGCATTCCTAAGGAATGTAAAGCAAAGCGATCCCTGAATAAAAATTATAAATTCAACAAATATTTACAAATGCCATGTACTAAAATCAAGATACTCACAGATTTTGTTGAACGCTACGATATCACAGCTCTGGATGTACTCATTTGCTGGCTCAACAGTGAGATGCTCCTCAATCAGGGTGTCCACGGACACAAGGTCATCCACAATGGTCATCATAATCTGTAACTTTTTGATGCCATAACCAACAGGAACAAGCTTGGCTGCATGTCCACCAAAGAACAATAATTAAACTGAAAGATTGCTCATCAGTGAGCAGAAGTAAAACATATCCAGCTAAAACACAAAATAGCATTCACATACAAGCTCCCCAAAGCAAACCCTCCATCTGAATGCTCCTAACTGTTTCTTCAAGCTTTTTCATGTCAGTTTCATCATCCCATGGCTTAATATCCAATAGAACTGAAGATTTTCCAGCTGCAGAGCCGACAACATACAAAATAAGAACATAACAAAACAACTTATATTGTTAAAACTTGACTATGGTTTTGTTATTATGTTCAATGATATCTATATGTATATGCAACATGATAAAGAAAACCTCTGTAGCATGAAATAATATATATGTGAAGCAAACACACATTCTTTCTTTTTCCCTGTAGCTTTGACAGCTGCTGCACGTGCTTCAGCTGCCTTCTTTTCCTCTTCTGTCTCTTCACCAAAGAGATCAACATCATCATCATCATCATCGTCATCCGCAGGAGCTGCAGCCTGAAGTTCCATAATAACAACCAGAATATATTTAGATTTCTAAGATAATTACAGTATAGCTGTCTACTGTAGATTGACAGATTGTTGTATAATACTGGCGTCTTTGAACAACAAACCAAAATTAAATCAATATCTATAACTAGATTAGGTAAAAAGAAACCAAGCTATGTCCCAAGTTATGTCATAATTCTGCATCACATTTTATTAATGAAGTATTATAGGCCTGGAAATTGCCTTGTACTCTAAAAGACCTTGAATATAAATTGCAAGTTGCATCTAAATATGAAATTAGTAGAAAGAGGATGGGCAAAATAATATATCATCACAATTTGTTTTGGGACAAGAAGAATAATCTGGTCCCTCTAATGATTATGAAACAAATATTGTTTGAGAAAACATCACATTTTCAGAAGTTATTAGATAAAGCCAAGAGTTTACTGAAAATATGGCATAGAAAAGATAATTTCTACAGATGAGGATACCATGACATAAGAAAGGACACTGTGGATTGAGAAGGTGAGTCATGAATATCAAAAACAAAATCCTTGGTTTTTTGCAAATTATCTTTTGCAAGAATTAATCCAATAAAAAAATAATGAAAGTCGAATATATTACCGTATACAACATTGCTCTAACCAAAATAAACCTAGTAGGAACTCTAGGAATATGAATACAAAACACTACTTAAAAGCAACGAGCAAGGATCAAAAGCATCTATTATGTACCTTATCAGCAACAGCAGGAGATAACGGGGCCTCTGCAGGAGCAGAACCTTCAATTTTCACACCCTGGCCCTCTGTGGAGACACCACTGCATAACATTTCGCAAACAAAACTTTAACTTTCAACTAGACACTAAGGTAAAAAATAGTAATGTAATGAATTGGCTAATTATGCACATACCACATCCTAATGAGGGCATCGATGTGCTTGTACCACCTACAAACATTTACATACTCATCCGATGGCACCGACGGGATGGCTGAGTAAACAGTAATATCATCCTTGGATGCTTGGTATCTGAAATGAAATATCATAAGAATGTCATAGAGTACGTAAAAATCGAAAGCAATGCATTAATATATTGCAATTAAGAATACAAACCCAGAGATATAACTCCGAGTGAGGAGGTACTCATCGAGCTTCTTAAGGCCAGCAGCCGAGCTAGGAGAGTACAAGGTTACCGCCATTGCTACCGGTATATCGTGTGGTCTCCTTTAAATCACAATAGCAAAGATATTAATCACTAGAACTTCAAGCTTTTACAAACACAAAATAAGACCAGAAAACATTCTAAAGAAATCAGAAAATTTTATAATTCGGAAGCTTTGATCCACTTCAAAATTCAGAAAATATGCCTATGAATCCCAAATGATAAAGCTTAACATTAACTCTACCATCACACTATTTATCGGTTTTAAGTTGGGGAAAAATTATACACACTTTAATAATTACTTAAAAATCAAAATTTGTTAGAAATTATTAAATACAATTTAAAAGCAGTGAAAAGAAAACAGCTTCACAAGATTAAACCTTCAAAATAGCCATGATGCTTTCTTCTACTCCTATAAAATCTCCTAATGATCCAATCCTTTTCACACAAACATATATTTGCAATCAAGCAGAACATCAAGATTAAGTAATAAAGCAGCTACCTAGATGCAGAAACTAAAACACTAAGAAGATATCAGAACCAAATGGAACAAAAAAAATCAGTCGAGATGGAACCCTAGCGAGAGATCCAAAAGTGTAAAGAATTGAAAATACTTTTGGATCTAGAGAGATGTTTGAGGGCGGAGGCAATCAAAGAGAGTGGAGGATGATGGGGGAGTTTCTAGGGTTTTAAACAGAGCGAATTTGGGGTTGTTATTGGGTTTGAGGGTATGAGTTCGGAGCCCAAACCCGAGAAGGATTTTATTTGTTCTTGTTTGATGGAACAAAAGAATCCCATAAAATAGTGAAGGCCCCGTTTAGATACCATAATCCCATAAAATAGTGAAGGCCCCGTTTAGATACCATCGTGTTTATTTGTTTTCATGATGTTTTAATCAAAAATAAAATATCATGTATTTGCCCGTTTAGATACCATCGTGTTTATTTGTTTTCATGATGTTTTAATCAAAAATAAAATATCATGTATTTGAAAACGATGGTGTTTTTAGAGCTAAACCGTATTCAAATAAAAAACACAACACTTATTTCAAAATACTTAAAAGGTGTTTTAAGTTTGGTGTTTTGGTTTTGAGTTTGAAAAAATGTTAATATAATATCTAACATAATATATTAAATATAATTAATATAGAGTTATTATCAACATGTTTATTATACTATACTACACTATATTGAATTAATATAGAGTTATTATCAACATGTTCAATCTAAACATTTTGAATTATAGGAAATTATAGATTGTGCTTATATTGTACCCACTTTGGAAAAATCCAAGTGGAGTAAAGATCATCATAGAATGATTACTATGAACAATATTTTGTTAGAATATTTGCTAAATGCTTTTAACTCATCTCTCTCTAACAAGTTTGTTCATTTTGATAGTGCTTACACCTTATGAAAATTTATTGAAGCACATCAAGGTGCTAAAATGAACAGTAACCTAAGGTTCTAAAGAATAAAATAAATAAATGAATAACCAACCCACGTTCCCTTAAAAAAAACTTCTCACCCACGTTCTCCTGTTCCGCCTTCTTTTAACTGTACACCTTTTTGCACCCAACTTCCCACCCACGATTCTTCCTCTCCACTTCCCCTCTTCCTCCCCTCTCTGCGCCCTCTCCGAACACACGAGGTCTCCGTCCTCATCTCCTCTTCCCCCTCCTCCGCCCAATCACCACATATTTCAAAAGAATAAATTTTCAAAACAGCCTCAAACCATGTTTTAATTTTCTAAACCGACCAACTTTTTTTTACCAAAATCGACCGACTTTTTACCACGTCAGCTTAACCCCGACTATTTAGGAGGTTGTTAAACCCCAATTAGAAGCCTTAAACCCGATTTTTTATGCCCTAAATAGTCGGGGTTGGCAACCCCGACTAATTAGGAAATGAGATTAAGCTAACGTGGCAAAAAGTGAGTCGATTTTGGTAATAAAAAAAGTGAGTCGGTTTTGAAAATTAAAACATGGTTTGAGGCTGTTTTGAAAATTTCTTCCATTTTCAAAACTGCTAAAAAAATCTTGACATCAAAAATCACCACATATTTCAACAAATAGAATAACTTTGATAGATTTTTCTACACAGAAATCTAACCAAAAATTCAAGAAAAAAATTGTATTATGCACAAATAATCTGGTGATAACAATGTTAGCCCTAATTCCAATATCCAGGTACCAGAATGCAACGTTTTAAGAAAAAGTCTCGCATTTGCATGTCTTTGTGTCAATGAATGCTAAGCAAATATACCTCCATAAACAGTTAACATGCAATAAAAGCTAAAAAAACTGTAAATAAGTTTATATATATTATATATTATATATATGCAATAAAAGCTAAAAAAAGTTAGTATCTTTCCAGTTTAGTTAAATTAAACAAAACTATAATCAAACAAAAATAAATAATTACTCATAAATAACAAACAAACTCAAAATTTCCCATGAGACAGGTAACAGGCTAAAAGATCAGACTTTGGTGACAAAACTCTGACGCTGCACGACCTACCTTCTGTCTTCGAGATCTATCGCATGGTCCTTCTCTATATATAAAATATCAATAAATTCCAATTTAAATCCCTAAAATACTAGGGAACAAAATATCAATAAATTCCAGCAACATGCAGTATTGACCAATATTGTCGGTTGAAATCTAAAGCTTTAAAGTTATGAATTTTGAAGAGCTTATCATTCTTGAAATATTCAGAGACCATAAAAATAATAAAAACTTCGATATTTCACATGCCCTCAGGCTCTTTAATTTTCACAAAAGCCCAAGACATAAAAATCATGTCTTTAGGTTTGTACATTAGAAATCACGATACCATCTAATCACATTAACCTTTTTAAAGGATAATATGAATGTCTACGAAACAACCATCAGATAAATAATATAGCCACCGTTAAAAAAAATTAGCAGCATATGACATCATAACCTAATTAACATGAAATTAAGCTAAAATTGAAGATAATTACAAGATCCATAGCAAAAACACGAATGAAGTAAAGAGAACTTGAAGAACTCACCTTGAAATGATCAAAACCTTGCTCTAATTGCAGACGAAGGAGAGAGAGAGAGAGAGCCAGGAGAGATGGAAGAGGGGTTTTGGCGGTGTTTTTGGAGTTTTATATCGATAGAGAGTTGAGATTGCGAGGGGGAAATTAGGGCTTCCACTGTAGCCGTTGGATTGATTTACCGGACGGTTGTGAAGAGAGGACTTGATCGGGCCGTTGGTGTTGTTTTGAGCGAAAGGGATGGTGACACAAAAGGGATCGTGACAAATCAAGGGGGTCCTAAATCAAATTAGATGAGAGGGTTACACGCAATTTTAGCCTTGAATTAATTAATTAATAACTAGCCAATTAATTATTAATCACCTGGACGCATCAGAACGAGCTCGACCAGCCGTGCTTGGCCGCGAGGGGCACGCGGCGACGGACATGACGACCCGGACGCGTTGCAGAGCGACATGACGAACGCCACCAGCGCCGCCACCTTCGCCTCTCTCCGCAGAGACCCCAACCTGGCCGCCGGCGATCCTCTCCCCTCGGGCCTCGCCAACCCCGCAGTGCCACGACAGGCGACAGCGCGACAGCCCCGCTCCTCCTCTTGCTCCCGTCATCTTGATCCCTCCGTATTTTCCCAACCTCTCCCTTGAGCCCCTCGGTCCTGTAACTGGCGGCCGCGTTGATCTTGATCGAGCTCGACGGATGGAGAGGAGATTGAGGACGATGATAACGACGATGAGGGGTTGTTGTCGACAGAGAATGGGATGGATATGGAGGTGAGACTGCAGAAGCCATGGTCAGCCAATTTTGGGGCAACCAATTTTAGGGGGCCCTGTGCGGTCGAGCCTCTCCAGGCTTCACGATATTAACAAGTACACTCATTCTCTCAGGATTAGGGTTTCCTTCGCCCAGGGAGATTCGAGTTTTCGTGCCCAGACCGTCGAGCTCTGTCTACATCGGTGATCGCCTGAAGCCCTTGTCTGGATTAGTTGGGAAAAGTTTGAACTTTCTTTACTAAAACTCTTCCCCTTTTTTGTTGGAAAATGCAGAAACGAGGGTATTGGGGTTGGGATGCGCCCTGAGACTCAATGGCAGAAACTGGCGAAGGGCTCTTGGGTTCAAGCAGTTTCGCCTTTTGGGAACAGGATTATTGACATCAGAATGCTGCCGGATTCGTCGAGGTCCATTGAGGTTTCTACTGAATTAGGTAATTTATTCTCTCTGTGATGAAAATTTTGAGTGGTGTAGTGAGCGCTTCTTACTGTTGGATCAATTTTCGTTTCAGAGTTCCTGCTCCATCGACTTCTTTTCTTGTTGATCGGGTTCATTATGATGCTAATGGCCCGCGTTCTTAGTGAGTCGGTTGTGTTCTATTATGGTAGCTTTATGACGGTCGGCGTCATCATTGTGATATTGATAGTTCTTTTTCAGGTAAATGCTGTACTTTTGGAGCTTGCTGCCAGTGATTGCTTATCTCTTAATTTTGTGAAGCTTTATATATTTTTAAGATCTGGGTGCTCTATTGGTTATTTGGTTTGCATCTCTCCTTCGGGAAACTCAAATGTGACATTCATGTTGGTGTTTATTTAACCTAGTAGCTAATAACTCCAAAGAGAAAGTGGCTATGACTTTGAAACAATGACCAAAACACACGGATCCTGTCAAACTATATTGCAACTAGCACAGACACATGGATAAGACACAAAAAAAAACCACATGATGAGTTCAACTAATTACAGGCAAATAGAAGTCCTATGTCGAACAATGTCTGGGTCTGACAAATGTCTTTGACATGATACAGTTCCATACTTTAAGGTGTATGCGGTACCGAACTACCAATAATGTAACTTCCATTCCAGTTCTATGTTTTATCATTTGAAGTATATTAACTTCATCATTGTATCTACTTTTTAGATGAATGAATTCATTTACAGTTTTGACTATTGAGAATTCATATGAACTATTGACATGCTTCACAAGTAGTATCATTTCAAAATTTAATATAACTAAGATTGTAACATCAGAGACTAGAAGTCCTTGGAAACCTAGACAGAAACAAAACAGAAGGATTTGTACCTAAAGATCAAAAGCATATGCCATGTGTATAAGACTATAAGCTCGCCTAATTTTAAGAATATGGCTTTTAAACTTGTCTGATGGTTCAGTTAGATTTAAATTTATATCATAGGATTGTGGTAACTTGTAGAGGTTGTCTCACCACATGCTATGGGGAAATTCATCTACCCATTCAATCATTTTAAGTTTCTGAACCTTGATTAAAACAAAGGATGGCAATTATGACAAGAAAATAGTGAGAGTTACAGAGATGTTATACTCATCCTTCCGTTTTCCTTTTCTAATTTATACAGAAGGCTAGCATCTTCTGTTAGGGCCTTATAAAACTTGTGAAACATTTCATCACATGACTAACGTTCAAACATAAATATTTCAAATAATGTTTCAAATGAAGTCTTCCTTGAGAAAAGAGGATAAAGCCTAAATTGGAACTGAATAATTTCTGATGTGATTAATCTCCATTCTCAATTAATGAAAATATTGATTTTGATTCATTTAAAAGAATATGTGTGCTCTCATCTGAGATGGTGAATCAGAGTAGCATGCAACGTGACCTGTAAATTTGTCCAATACTCCATATGCATCTTATGTTTTGGTTTTAAACTTCCATACTACAAGATGGCATGATTATTATTTAAATTAATATAAGACACCTGATTTTTTTATCAAATAACAAACAACATTAACATTGTGCTAATATGTGCTTGCCATCCGGAGCGCAGAGTTTTAGGTTTATCTTCTTTTACATTCTACACCAATGACTAGCATGCTTTTTATGCCGATTACCTTTCTAACCTTTTTTCTTTGTGCTTGATATATACTTTTCGTTCTAGTACATCAATCTCTGATTATCTATTTATTGGAACTGCTATGGTTCATTTGCAGGGCATGAAACTTTTACCCACGGGTCGAAAAAGTTCCCTTGCAATAGTTTTATACTCCTCAATTGTAAGCATCTCGTTTAGTTTTCTAGCGCTAATAAGTATAGAGTTTTGAAATCATAGGAATTGCAACATATATATTGTAACTGTAACATATATACCTTTTATGATAGGTGGGTGTCGCGACGTTTGTTCTACATTACTTGTCTGGACTGTTAAGATCAATACTTTTAGAGATAGGAATCAGCGAAGATATGCATAATCCTGTATGTAAGTTTCTCTGCTTATTCTTGCTATATTTTATGAAATAACAATATGTTCTCTTTTTTCCTGGTGCAATTAGACTCATTTGTAGTACCTTTGAATATTTGAAGATTCATTGGAGATCATTATTTGTGCTTCATGTTTGGGTCCCCATCATTAATTTCTATATAACAAATAAATATTTTTATCGGCCATTTAGTAGGAAAATCCATTGGTTTATGATATATTTGAGGTTGATTTTTGTTGCTTCCCATTGAGATGTATGGGGTATGTAGTATACATCAAGCTATTCTGTTTTACGCGTGCAGTGGATTTGCTATTCTTTTATGCGTGTAGTGGATTCACAAAATTGTGACACGTGATATTAAATTATCTTTAAACTCAGATCATGAGTAAAGTTTTAGACAAGGGCATGTTCATGTTATTTATACGAAATTGATTAGGATAACATAGTGTTTTAAACTATTTTGAGTTATCTTTATTTACATTAGGATGTCATATATCTTTTATTTGGATTGTGATGTTGTTTAGGATATTGTTCTTATATTCCTTAGGATTTTTCTTGGGTTAGGAATTTGAGTTTTAGTTGAACTTTATCCACAGATATGCTTATCTTGTATTTAAAATTAAGTTGCTAAATGAAAGATTGAATATGGATATTGATATTGTTTGAGAGTTACTGATTGTTTCTCTCGCTAAACTAAATTTTATCTTGTTGAGTTTACACTGCCTTATCTGGTACCAGAATGCAAGTCAATATATTCCAGAATCTTGAAATTACCCAACATCAGACAACCACGCTTCGTCTCTATTGTGACCAGTCCGGTACTCCAATTCTTCTTTCATGAACAGCTCATTCCTTCATCTAGCCCGCCATCAGATCTGGTCAAATCTGATCCCATTGTATTCCCAGTCATCAATATCAACCATGCAAGCAACTTCAGCCTTCCTTTCAAGGGTACTAGTGCAACATATCTTCAATCAAGACCCCCCAATCTGCATGAACTGAAGCTAACCTCATGTCTTCATGCGCAACAAATTTGATCTAGGATCCTACAATTAATGTGGACAACACTGTGAGATGTTAGATTATAAATTAGTAAAGATTGTTAATAGACTCTATATAAACCTTTTAATAAAAACAAATGGAGTCTTGAACATTTTGAAATAGATGTCCAAATAGATGTTTATGCATTAGAGTGGCTTGTCTAATTAAATCAGATCTTCCATACCACAAAGTTGAAATAAAGGAGTTCCATGTTAGAGAATCATCTATACAAAGTTCAAGAAGAAAATTAATTCTCTCTAAGTATTGTCCAAAAGGTAACAAAAATGAAATTAAGAGTTCCTTTTGGAAAATGAAAACAGTAGAGTTGTAAATCACTTATGAAGGCTCGTGAGTGCTTGTGAGAGCACGTGTTAACTAATTTATCAATTCAATGTGAAGATCCAGTTATTGTATACTGAATGGAAGAATGCACTTTGGTATCCATTAAGGGTTAAAAGATATTGTCCTCGAATCAAATGTATATGCCAGATATGAGTAATCAAACAAACATAAGAAAATGAAGTTATTCTTGAAAATGAGTTTAGTATTATCTCAAGGATATTTATACTGCTATATTAAAAACCAAGTGAGGAAATGAAAAAAATTGAAGGATTGGAGGTCATGTCTACCTTCCTGTCGTGATAGAAAGGATAAATTTGTAATTGTACAATGGATAGTTTTTCTCTTCCTTTTTCTTTTCTCTTTCATCAAGAACATCCTACATCATTCAATGACATGAAAATAAGATTAGAGCCCACGTGTCCTTTATATTCTAGTCTATAAAAGGCTCAAGGAAAAAGTTATTGTTTTTTTTATAAAAAAAGTAAATATATGAAAATAAAATAAATATGCAAAGCTTTTATACATATACCTATACTACTATTAA